TCCAAGGGTATACTCGGACCACACCAACATTATGCATCAATTGCACGAGAAGTGAGGAACCCCTCTTTTGAGATGGCGCCTAAGCGTGCTTGCGGAGAAAGACACGCATGGCCCTAGCAAAAAAAGCTCAGAACTTCATTGATGCCAGGGCAGATCCCATTGACATGGATGAAGATGAGAAAGAGATGTTGTCAGAGGCACATTGTTCTCTGCTTGTCTGTTCCGAAGTGACGTGCATCACCCGTTCTTTCGCTGCTCTTTTCATGGGAGCTGTTTCCTGTCCGGGACGCAGCATTGTATGGAATAGGCCCCTGATGACAACCTGGGAGTGATCAGCTGCCAGGCTCGTGCGAGGCTGGCAAATACGCGTGGCAAGAAGGCCAAGCGCAAGGCCATGCTGATTTCTTGCTCAAGTTGAAGTTACATCAATGATGGAGTAGGTAGCAACGGTTTCACCGTTGAGTTGGGAGTAGAAACCAGACCTTTGACCTTCAGGAAAGCAAGAGCTGTTGGTGGTTTGGTGATGCCCCTTCAAAACCTGGTCAGTGGTTTCAAGAGATGTTGACAGGATTTCAAGAGTTGCGCCCTGTTCTGGCACAAGCGGCTTTCCATTTGCATGCTAGCGCCAGGCCATCAAAGCAGGGTATTACATGTCATGGAAGTTCTTCGAGAATTCGCAATTTTGGCTGGACAACGGCCAACCAAGCAAATTGGGACAGTCTCAAGATCTTTGTCATTTCATATCGAAAATATTCTGAACAGGGACTTCCATTACCCTTTCTGATCCCCATAGATTTTTTGGGTCCCAGAAGTACCCCAAGTTTGGAACTCTTAGTCTCTGGTGGCTTCCGTATGTATTCTCCAAGGCCCGCGAGAAGCAGCTGGAGGAGGCAAGGCGTCTTGCAGCGCTGCAGAAGCGCCATGCTCCCAGCCAGGATTGGGAACTCCAGAGGTGTTGTGGTGTGTTCTTGAGCTGAACAGCAGCAGAGATTCACAAGCATCACAGCTTGACTGCTGCTTTTACGGTTGTTGCCTCAGGGCGGGAGCTCAAGGCTGCAGGCATCAGCACCTCAAGGAGGCACAGCCAAAACACATTGTTGGCTGCCGACCGGTCCCTGCATAGTTGACAGTTGTCAGGTACAAGTCGCGGAAATACATCGACTATGGGGAGGAAGTGCCGTTCGAGGTGCGACGGTCAGTTGAATTTTCACCAACACACGGAACGTGAGAAGGTTGTGTTTTGCTTGTGGTTTGAGGGCTTCATAAGAAGAGTGCTCTTCCTTGGTCCAATCAACGAAAAGGCTGTTACTTACTTGCCAAAATCATGCTGGTATCCTGCCTGGAACGAACACAAACTTATCTCGGCAGCAGGCCGTTCCTCCGGTCGGCTTCCACGAAGTGGGACCTGAGGACGCACATCATCGATGTCTTCTCATCTCTTCCTCTTTCCAGTTCTGGGTAACATTCTTTAGCCTAAAGATAGGAGAGGCTGGATTTGCAAGCGCCGCCTTGTCATTTGGTGTGCAAACGGAGGAGACGCCCAGGGTTACAATGGGCATGGCGAACGTCACCTTGCAGGCAGTCACTTCGCCACACCACATTCCATCAGGTTGCAGCTTTTGCTGCATATTGCACGGCAGCCAATGTGTGGAGAGATTTCATGCAGCACTGTAAGATGTGAGTCTTGAGTGAGGCCGTTGAGCACCGCAGCCGACTCGATGAGGAGAGGAGGCGTCGCAAGGATGACGAGAGGAAGCTGAAGCGCCCAATGCTTACAGGGTTGTTGGCCCAGTTCTCCGAACTCAAGGTGCGAAACACAAACGTTTCAGTAAGGTGCATTTGGTATTTGTAGATGCCATGACATGGCTTTGGAATATGAGGTGGTGTTCCCATTCAAGACACAGACAAGCTACTGTAGTCACGCTGGGAGCGTGTCAAACTTGCATGTGGCGAACTCGGGCTCTAAATTTTTGGGTGAAGGGGCTTGCTTGGCCGTGGAGTTTGCTCAGAAGGCCTTTTGTACCTCTCCCACACTGACATTTTCAACGGCTTCCTTTGGACATTGTCTTGCACTACGCCGAAAATGAAAGGCTGCACTTCGCAGTACTTGGCAAGTAAGCTTGGCCAAAGCACTAAGAGGACTTTTTCTCTGGATGGCGAGGTTGTCCATCAGCATTCGGATGTACTCAAAACGCAGAAGATGGACCGCTCGCAGTCGCAAGGAGTTTGAGCTACGTTGTAGGTGCATCCTGCAGCTAAGGCTTGAAGGATGAAAACCTCCCCGAGGCCATCGACATGATCAACAAGCTCAATGCTGCTGACCTGCAGTCAGAGCTTTCCTCGCACAACTTGACTTGTGCAAAAGGCTGGACCAGGCTTTCATTAAATCTATGATCTGATCTTTAGTTTTAGGAGAAGCCATGCGCCGGGTGTGTTGGTATGTATTGGTCTGAGCTGCATGCCAAGGACCCACAGCAGCTTCGGAAGCGAACAGCCTCAACCTCAATCGGCATGGCTTTTCTGCATTGGACATCAGGAGCACACTTCTGGAGCTCCCTGAAAGTTCATTTAGACTTTGAGTTCGGCAGCCCTTTTCATTTGAGGCAGGTGACCGTGATGGCTTGCTAAAGTTCTGAAACTGGACACCGCAAGGGCACCAACTGCAACAAAATTCAGGCACTGAGCTTGCCTGCTCCGCAGCTGAACGACGAGGAGCTTGAAGCCATTGTCAAAATGGGCCTGCGGCACAGAAAATGTCGTAGCAAAAAGACTGAAAGCAGATTTTCTGCATGCAAGGTGCAGATGCAGCCGCTCTCCAAGCAGAAAGCGTCGAAGCCTCGAGCACCAGACTTTTTTCTTCAGCTTCAGAAGTCTACTAGGTTGTGTCTGCAAAGCTGCAGCCATCTCTGGTGCACTTCTACAGGCTGACACCTCCACGGCGGGCCTGGTTCAAAGCTACGGTGACACCCCCGGCGCCACGCCGGTTCGGACTCCCAGGCTCCCCCAAACCTCCGCATGACGTGGCTCTTTTGCCCTGAAACCGAGAGCAATCCGAGAGCGTGTCTCGAGTGTTTCGAGCGCCTCTGCAGGCGGCCTGATCCCGTCCTGCTGGAAGCCCAGGCGGGCCTTTTTGTGGTGCTCTTGCATGGCTTTGCGTGAAATGTGCAGACACGAATCACAGACTGCCTCAGCACACCCTTTACATAAGCGTGCATGAAGAATCAAGTCTCAGCGCCAGGCAGGACGTTCAATTTGGATATTGGTAAGTGTTGATAGGGAGAGTGCACACTTACAGCGTCCGCTTCTTGCATCTCATGAAGAACAATAATTCTGCCAGATGTTAGTTTTGCTTGATGTTGTACTGGGTGGTCGGGTTATCTCACGTAGGCTGTTTTTTTTTTTTACACGTCGAGCAGCGTCCATACTGGGGGACCCAATTCAAAAGCATTCACCGGAATAGATGTCATTTAAGAAGCAAATATCTTGGAATTGTACTGTTTCCACAGCGTGCACATGGTTTCAGCTTATGATGCGGCATGTTTACATGGCATCGCTGTATGTGTCGAGCAGCGTCCACACTGGGGGACCCAGTTGAACAGCATTCAGTAGAACAGATGTCGTGCTGTTCCCGCAGCGTCCACAGGGTTTCAGCTGATGATGCTGCATGTTTGTATGGCACCTCTGTATGTGCTGAGCAGCGCCCACACCGGGGGACCTAGTTCACAACCTTTTAAAAGAATGTTATGCAAAAGCAATTCTTGCAATTGTGCTGTTTCTACAGCGTCCACAGGGTTTCAGCTCATGATGCGGCATGTTTGCATGGCATTTTTGTATATGTTGAGCAATGTCCAAACTGGGGGACCTTGTTCAAAACATTTACTAGAATAAATGTTATGCAAAAGCTAATCTTGCAATTGTGCTGTTTCTACAGCATCCACAGGGTTTCGGCTCATAATGCGGCATGTTTGTATGGCGTCTCTGTATATGTTCAGCAGCGTCCACACTGAAAAACCTACAGGGTTTCAGCTCATGATGCGGCATGTTTGTATGGCATCGCTGTATGTTGCATGCTGTGTCTCACTCCCGGAAATGATAGATGTGACACATTGCCACGTCCTGGGGAAATGACAGTATCTCATCATCCCACGTTGGGGCACATGTAAAACCAGCGTTCGCCAGCGTCTACATGAGCTGCTGTCAATATTAGCCTTATTAAGGGCTCCTTAACAGTGGACATTAAGGTCCTCTT